GCGGGTATTGTTTGTCGAAGCAGCTATGAGCAGGCTCTTTCAGAGACAACTATTCTAAGCAGAGATTCTCCACAGCCTTCATGAGGATGCGAATCAGTTCATGCTATCTGTTGGCCCGTGTTAACTCACTGGGGAAAAGGGTGCCAGGATCCACTCAGGAAAATGCCCAATCTTCTGTATCTGAAGGTGTCAGTGACATAGAGTCATTAGTGACAGTGTCTGATCTGCCTAAAAAGATCAAACCGCTCGTTGCGGACAAGGGGCACTGATCCTCAAGTGTAAAACACGCCAGCGGATCAAAGTACTGCAGGGAGAGTGAAGCACACAGAACCTGTGCCGGTTGCTCAACCCCCTGACTTCACTGTTTCTTCCTCCGAGCAGAGCTGAGAAGGGAGAAACCGGAGAGCAGTGAGGGCGAGGCCACCTTCATTGAAGAAGGCGATCCACGAGCAAAGCAGGGTGAGACTCAATCTCTCACACAGAGAGCGGTCTCAGTGAGCACAGCCTAGAGCTCAGTAGTAAATCTCCATCCGAAGGCCAGAGGGTGCTCTCGCATTGAAACTCCAAAAATGCACCGCAGAAGAAAGGTAATGCACATAATTTCAGGAAAAAGAAGATTGAACTGCTTTCATTGATTCAACGTGACTAATAAACACACGACTATGACAATATATGGTTTATAAGTGCTTTGCGTGTTTGGAAAGATCCAAAATCGCTGTGCTTTCAGATGGAGCATTTTTCCGTACTTCACTGACAAGCTGTGCATAACCACATTCATAATCGCAGAAAGATTTAATCGCATTGCTTTTCTCTTTTCAGCGAACTACGGCTCTGTGTAGTAAATGCTGCTCCATCTGAAAGCATGGCAAGTTTGAGTAGTTTATAATGTGCATTTGAAAAAATAACATGCGCCAAACATCTTTCCAAACATGCAAAGCATTTATGAACCTCTTGGCCATCAAAATACTACTTCAGTCAGGACCACTTTCATCTAAGTATATTTATTACAATTATATTGCATACTTTTAGTGTTGGCAGTATGGTTCTGTTCTGGGCAAAACTCCACATGCCTGTGGAGAATGGGGAGAGCAGCAAGTCAAACCACCCTGGGGTACAGAACAGATCAAGTATATGCCTACATAATTACAATTAACAATTTACATGAGTTGTAGAAAATACAAATACATGGTAAATAATACTTGCAATGTAGTGAACTGTATACGGAAAGAAACAAAGTCAGATTAGATTACAGGTTTAGCTGGGTGGAGTTGGGGTTGGAGGAGGGAGTTTGATTTTCAAGCAGCAATGCGATAGGAGAGATGCTGAAAGAATGGAATTAAATGGACTGCTGTGATAAGTCTTAAGACTGGATTGGTACACATCAGGAACAGCTGACTATCAGCTTTTGGTAGGCTGAAGCACCATTTGTTCATGCAGCTACACGAACATGAACAAATCAGGCTTCAGTATCAGAGCAAACAGGGGCCTGTTTCATAAAACAAGTTTACTAAATGCACCAGGCTTATTTCATTGAGTCTGACTTACTGTCAGTTGATTTGGTTCCATAAAGGAAATTTACCATAGCTCAAGCTCAGTCACTCTGGCAACATATGCTGGGAAACTAACCTGGTCCGGCGCAGGCTAACTATTAGGCTAAGCCTGAGTTCCTCTAACACTGACCAATAGGAACACATTGATATTATTTAACGCTGGCTCTCTCACATACAATTATTTGACTTTATTATCAGTCCAAAAACAAAAAAAAGTATAGAGAAAATGCAACTTAAATAATAAATCAAATAAAAAATATATAGGCTACAACTGAATGTATTTAATGTAGTGTGCCCAAGATTTAATGACATTGTTGTAGCGTCTGAACCAATCAGACACACCATTTTTTATTTGATTTAACAAATCAATTATTCATTAGATTAACAAATAATCACAGTCCCCTCACCCAATAAACATGCTGGGTGCCAGGATGTCTGCGAATGAACAGGCCTCTGATTCCATGGCAACCAATGCTGATATCACTGGTTTTATTGCCCAAAGGAATGCGGATAGAGAACTCACTCATTTTCCTCATAAGACAGACACATAATGCCAAGAGAAAGGAAAAATTTTTTTTTTTTTACCCAGTCATTTAAAAATAACATTTTAGAACGACAATACCGTGATACCGTGATATTTTTGCTTAAGGTTATCATACCGTCAAAATCTCATACCGGCCCATGCCTAGTTTGAACTAAGAATCTGATGTTTCCTTCAGGCTGTGGATCTGCTGAATATCCAATGGTCCCATAGCTTCATGCTTTATTTCTTTTCTCTTTACTGCCTAAGCTTTAATCCTGTTCCTATACCAACTGTATGCGTGTGTGTGTGTGTGTGTGTGTATGTGTAGGTGTATGTTAGACTAGTTTAAGTGTTTATGTAGTTAATAAAGTCTGTTGTAAGATATATTAAAACATTTTAACATGGTTGCTGTATATACAGCTGAATATGTATAGTTATTAGTAGAACATTAAAACATTACAGTCTAAAATTGTTCTTTAAAGCATTAAAAATGCTCAATAAAAAGTTAAAATGACTCAATTAAAAATGAAAATAAATAGAAAATAGACTAAATTTTAACTGGTAAGAGGACTACACATTAACTTACTTGAGCTAGTAATTAGGGATGTATTAGCTAGCTTGCATTTGATTTACAGTTACTGCCAGGCACATGCACACATAGACATCAAAGGGGGCTTGAGCACCTGCCCTTTTTCTTCCTCGAGAGAAAGTGTCCTTTTTTCTGGGGAGTGTTTTTTTTAAATAAATGAATATATATGTAGGCCTATATATGTGTGCGTGTGTGTTTCTGTTTGCGCACAGCTTTCCCTGTCAAACAAATAAAAAAATCAAAATATCAGGTCGGGGTGGATCATTTTCATGATTGACATTAAGGGCTGCCTAAGAATAAACGTGCACATCACATTATTTTGAATAGACATTTAGCCTCCTTTGGTGTAGGTCAGGGGTAGGCAAGTTCGGTCCTAGAGAGCCGCAGACCCCTGGTGTAGGTGATCCAGGTGGTGTGGCACAGGCTATGTGGTGTGTATGCATGCTGTGAGGTTTCTTTTTGTTTTCTTACAGGTGATCAGGACTGACCCTTCTTGCAATCTTGAGGAAAGATTTCCTTCTTCTATGGATTTTATTATTGACACCCAGATGTTTTAAATTGGTGTTTTAATCTTTGATGATCTATGCTAGCAAAATAAAATTGTGATATTTTAATACACTGAGTCTGATTTTTTTTAGTAGTTTTAGTATTGTGGATTTGTGGAGGGCTCCTCCTGCCTTCATTAGGTGGTGGATTAGTCAACTTACACTTCCGACACTACATGTAAAAACAATAAACCGTGTTGTGTTAACAATGCACGTTGTGCGGAAGTCAAAAAGACCGTGTGTGTAGCAGCATTTACTGCAAACCTAGCCACTCTAAAACTTTAAAAGTGACATATCATGAAAATCTGACTTTTCCAGGTTTTAAGTGCTATAATCAGGTCCCCGGTGCATCTACCAACCAAGGAAACGTGAAAAAGATTAACCCAGTAACTTTGATTGTAAAAAGGGGCATAATATGTCTCCTTTAAGCATTTAAAAAAAATTTCAAAAGCAACAAGCAAAAATAAAACCTACATTTTTTACTAGACCATTCACACAGCACCATCTACAGACAAATGTAAATAAATGGAGTGCCCCATTGCACCTTCAGTTACATCAGACATCCTCAAATAGTGTACCACAGTCCAGTTCCAGATGCTGGCTTGGTTCCAGACGGACTGTGAGAAATATTTTACTGTTTCTATTGTTTAAAATGAGCAGCACTTCAAAACATCAGAATGTACATAATAATACATAATAATAATCGTATGGCACCATTTTCTCTAATATTTTTATCTAGAGCCAAAAGCACTTCATTCAAGCCCCTTCTGCTTCTGCACGTTGCATCTCTGCCCCCAAGCACTATAAGAGCTGCAGATAACACGGTTATTTTAACAACAGTAACAGAACACAGTGAGGCTGTAATAGTACAAATAACATTAAATATGCCTTTTTGCTTCCAACTTTTCTTTTTTTGTTAAGTGCTTCCAACTGTTTTTCATCTGTTTATTTGTAATGAGACTAAGCAAAACACTGTTTTGACTCACACATTAAAAAGTTCCCTTTTTGGATGAAAGTTCTGTACAGTACTAAAATAGGTTTGTCCTTGCTGATCTGAGTTGATCTCACTAGATGACAAATTATAAAAAAGATGGAAGTTATTATTTATGGTCTCTGAAAATATGATTTCATCTTTAAATCAGATTATTTAAGTGTGAGGTGCCATGCTCAATGGTAATGAAGTCTACTGATGTTACTGAATATTTGCAATAATACCCTTTCTTAATGCGTTTAATAAAAATAACTTGATTTAACAATTATAAAACTGTCCACAGATCACGCCACGTCTAGTTCCAAAGTTCATCCAATGTTAATGCAGTCTTACATTAAAATAAATAAACAAACTGATATTGACTTTAACAATTTTTGAGATTAAGGGCCAGGGTAACCTAACCTGGAACTGATAGCTTAGATTGGCCCTCAAGCCAGGTCTGTTAACAAAAATTATTATTTGTATTAAAAAAGTACAATAAAAATTGAGTTTTCTGTATTATACCTTACTCCATAGCTATCTATTTATAAAAACTCTAATGTTGTTGCTTCAGCATTGTTTTATGTGCAAGACAGAACTGGAAAAAGAATGACCTATTTGAATATAAAAGTCAAATGTACAGCATTTCACTGTAGACGTTGGCATGAAGAATGTCACTGTCAGGCCAGGTTAACCTAACCTCTAACTGATATTTATGTTCAAATAAGTTGACTTAAGTTTTCTCTTGTGTACAATTTGATTTGCACTTAAAGACATTGGTTAATAATTAATTTAAGAATTAATACTTAGTCAGCAAGAAAACACTATAAAAGGTCTGTTTCTCTGAAGTGTTCTTTACAAACCATCAGCCATGAGAGCTGTTGTGCTTGCCCTGACTGTGGCCCTTGTGGGTAAGTCAAAATATATTTCTATATATTTTTCTCATTTTCTCTCTTTATACCTATTTGAAAAACCTTAGAACCTCTTGAAAATTCCTTTTTTTTAATATATATTTTTGATCTTTATTTCTTTCAGCAAGTCAACAGATCAACCTTGGTAAGTAATATGACTTGGAAAATGAGTTTGTAAGTGGTAACTTACACTGCGTTACTGCTTAAAATTAATGGTCATAACAACAGACTTAAATCAAAAATACTCTACCCTTTTCAGTCCCTGAGTTTGCCCCTGATAAGACCTATGTGTACAACTATGAGGCTCTTCTCTTGGGCGGTCTTCCACAAGAAGGTTTGGCCAGAGCAGGTATAAAAGTCAACAGCAAGGTTCACCTCAGTGCCGTCAACGAGAATACCTTCCTGATGAAGGTAATGATCGTTAAAAACCGCAGATTTCAGATAACACAAAGAAAACAACAACAAAATGCCATCACTGGATGGTAAAAGCAACAATGCCCTCATTTAAATGGAAAATGTCCCCTTACTTCAGCAATAAATTAATAGGAATTTTTTTAATGATGTATATATTTTAAACAATGACTCTGGTAGGCGCTGGCTCCTGGATGCTCTTCCTTCTGTTGGCACACCAGTCATTGTAAAATTCATCAAGGAGAAGTTCCTGGCTGATGAACTTACCCTTCCAGAGTTCATTCAGGCTCTTGTGGTTGCTCTGCAAATGGTCACTGCTGATTTGGACACCATCCAATTGACAGCTGTGAGTAAATCTAACTATACTCAAAATGTTGTTCTTCAAATCTTGCCTAATTCAAATGAATAATTTCTTTATCTTGCTGAACAGAGTTTGGCTATGCATGAGAAAATCGCCAAAATCCCAGCTCTCCGTGAAGTTGTAATGCTTGGATATGGTTCCATGATTGCCAAGCACTGTGTTGAAGTTCCCACTTGCTCTGCTGAGCTCCTCAGGGTAAACACATCAAGTCTTACATTTCTACCAGTCACTTGCTTGTTAATATTTGTCTAACTGTATGTGCCTCAATCTCCTCAGCCCATTCATGAGATTGCTGCAGAGGCAACTTCTAAGAATGACATTCCTGAAATCACTTTGGCTCTTAAAGTTCTGGGCAATGCTGGTCACCCTGCTAGTCTTAAACCCATCATGAAGCTCCTGCCTGGACTGAGAACTGCAGCTACATCTCTGCCCCTTAGTGTCCAGGTTGATGCCATCTTGGCCCTGAGGAACATTGCCAAGAAAGAACCCAAACTGGCAAGTGTCAGACTTTGTAGGAATTAATTACTGTAAAATTGCCCATTTTCTTCCAATAATAAGCTGACCTTGTTTCTTGTCGTAGGTTCAGCCAGTGGCCCTGCAGCTTGTATTGGACAGAGCTCTCCACCCAGAAGTTCGCATGGTTGCTTGTATTGTGTTGTTTGAGGCCAAGCCATCAGTGGCTCTCGTCTCCAGTCTTGCTGGTGCTTTAAAAACTGAAACCAACATGCATGTTGTGAGCTTTGCTTATTCCCACATCAAGTCCTTGACCAAAATCACTGCTCCTGATATGGCAGCTGTGTAAGAAAAACAAAACGGTTTTGTTTAATTTACTTTACCATGCCAAATGAGCACAAGCCGAAAGTAATAATGGTTGTCTGTTTCAGTGCTGGTGCAGCTAATGTTGCCATCAAGCTCATGAGCCGCAAGCTGGACAGACTTAGCTTCCGTTTCAGCAGAGCCCTTCAGTGGGACTTCTATCATAGTAAGTGTTGCAAAATTCTTAAGAAAGCTAACAAATGATGTGTTGGGTGTTTATTAAAATGTATAAAAGACTGCATCAATGGTATTCTTACCTATGTCTCTGTGCAGCTCCACTTATGGTTGGAGCTGCTGGCAGTGCCTACATGATCAATGATGCTGCCACCATCCTGCCCAGAGCTGTTGTAGCTAAAGCACGTGCTTATCTGGCTGGAGCTGCTGCTGATGTTCTTGAGGTGGGCAAACCATTTTTTTTTATCTGATTCATGGTTTAAAAATGTTTTCAGCCTTCACTCAATTCTTGCTCTCAAACAGATTGGTGTGAGAACTGAAGGAATCCAGGAGGCTCTTCTGAAATCTCCTGCTGCAGATGAAAGTGTTGACCGTATCACAAAGATTAAGCGCACACTGAGAGCAGTATGTTTTCATGTCCAATGCACTGTATAATTTTATACTAATAAGCAATATTACAAACATGACATAGGCAAAATGTGTATGACTTATGTTTTACCCCTTAAGCTCACAAACTGGAAGGACTTACCAAACAATCAGCCATTGGCTTCAGCCTACATCAAATTACTTGGACAAGAAGTGGCTTTTGTCAAGATTGACAAGACTATCATTGAAGAAGCTATACCGGTATTGTGTTGTAGTTTATCTCTCCTCTTTCATTACTATTTCTTTTTGAGATCTGTCTCACAAATAATTATCATAATTAGAACTAAGTTTCTCAACAACACTTTCCCCAGCTTGCCACTGGACCCAAACCACGTCAACTGTTGAAGGCGGCTCTTAAAGCTTTGCAGGAAGGAATTGCCTTGCAGTATGCCAAACCCCTGCTTGCAGCTGAAGTGCGTCGTATCTTGCCAACAGCAGTTGGTTTGCCCATGGAGCTCAGTTTGTACATTGCTGCTGTTGCTGCTGCACGTGTCAGTGGTATGTTTTTTTCTCAGAATTTTTATATCCTTTCTTCTGATATGAGGGGGTCACCACTTAGGTTGATGTTGTTCCATTCATCCTTTTAGTTCAGGCCACCATTACACCTCCTCTCCCTGAGGAGATTGAGACTATGACTCTTGAGCAGCTGAAGAAGACTGCTATTCAACTCCAAGCTGAAGCTAGACCAAGGTACACTTCTACAGCTACATTCATAGAGATGAGATATAATGCATACAACAGACGCTTTACAAACAATCTCCTTTATTCTTTCAGTATTGCTCTCCAGACCTTTGCTGTGATGGGAGTGAACACTGCCTTGATCCAAGCTGCTGTTATGGCTAGAGGAAAGATCCGTACAATTACTCCTGGAAAAGTGACTGCAAGAGCAGACATTCTCAAGGGCAACTACAAGGTGGAGGCTCTGCCTGTTGAGGTCCCTGAACATATCGCTGCTGTGAGGTAATGAAATCTTAGTGATGCCAGTATAGCAAATATTTTGAATCAATTATTAATTCATATTGTTTATGAAAAGTGAAATGCAAGTCACCTTCTTCTTGTTCCGACAGCTTTGAGACTCTTGCTGTGGTCAGAAACATTGAAGAGCCCACTGCTGAGAGGACTGTTCCTTTAGTACCCGAGTTGGCTGTGCAGAATTCCCAGACACCTGCTGATTATTTGGTAAACTTTGAATACACAATTTATATGTGCTAGTATGCTGAGCATTCATTTGCTTCATGGTGTGAGACTTGTTATAATACTTGATTTTTCTTTCCAGTCCTCTGAGAATCCAGATGAGGTTCCTGTGAGAGCTCCTGCTCCATTTGACAAGACTCTCTGTCTTGCTGTCCCATACATTGAAATCAAGGGATGCGTTGAGGTGCACTCTCACAATGCTGCTTTTATCAGAAATGCTCCTCTGTTCTACATAATTGGACAACACTCAGCCCGTGCTACAGTGGCAAGAGGTATACTTACAGAAATTATTACATTCATAATACTCAAGGATTTTCAAATAAAATGATAAGTAAGGAACTGTTGTTTTGGCTGTAGCGGAAGGTCCTGCTGTTGAAAGACTGGAGCTTGAAGTCCAAGTTGGTCCTAGAGCTGCCGAGAGGCTCCTTAAGCAAATCAGTCTCATTGATGAGGAGACTCCAGAAGGAAAGGTTTTCCTGTTGAAACTGAGGGAAATCCTGGAGACTGAAGATAAAAACAGGCCCGTCTCTTCTGAAAGCAGAAGCAGCAGCAGCCGCATCATCAGCAGCAGCAGCAGTTCAAGCTCCTCCATGTCCAGCTATCGTGTGACCGAGGTGAGGACAAGGAATATCATGTGTTGGTGAAATCTCCAATGTATGTGTCATAAATCTGTATATTCATTTGCACTGAATACTTTTTTAAATTTATTTTCAGACTGCCACCATCATGGAGCCTTTCAGGAAATTCCACAAGGATAGGGTAACTACTAAAAATAATATTGGTAACAATATAGTCGCTTTAGATGATCAGATACTTATGTTTATAACCTTATTTTGCTTGCAGTATTTGGCACCCCATGGTGCCTCAAAGAAAGTTAGCAGTGGAAGTGACGCATCTAGCTTTCAGCGTATCCAGAAACAGGTGAATCAATTAGTGTCATTTGTTTGGTCATAACAACACAAAACTCCAATTAAAATATGATATTTAATATTTGTATGGTTTATGCTTACAGGCTAAGTTCCTTGGAAATGCAGTTCCACCTGTTTTTGCTGTCATTGCCCGTGCTGTGAGAGTTGACCACAAGCTGCTGGGCTATCAACTTGCTGCTTACTTTGACAAACCAACTGCAAGAGTGCAACTTGTTGTTACTTCCATCGCTGAAAATGACAACCAGAAGATCTGTATTGATGGTGCTCTGCTGAGCAAGCACAAAGTGACTGTAAGCCTGGAAGTGTGATTAAAAAATTGTAGGGAATACATTTTTCTCAGCTTTAAGCATAATTAAGCATAAATCTGTTTTTCAGGCCAAGCTTGCTTGGGGTCCAGAGTGCCAGCAGTATGCAGTTACTGCTAAAGCTGAGGCTGGTGTACTGGGTGAATTCCCTGCTGCGCGTTTAGAGCTGGAATGGGAGAGGCTGCCGATTATGGTCACCACCTATGCTAAAAAGTAACATTTATCAGCACAGAACAATACATGTGTAGTGTAGAAAATGGCACTGGTTTAATTATCTACTCTTCTCTGTGTATCCTGTCACAATTAGGCTGTCCAAACACATCCCTATGGCGGCTTTCCAGGCGGGATTCAGACTTGAAAGAGTAGCGAACAGTGAGAAAGAGATTGAACTTACTGCAGCCTTGCCAAATCAGAGATCCTTGAATGTCATTGCCAGGATTCCAGAGGTGAAATAGTTTTCCTTCAAATTATCTCTCACAGAGAGATAAAAAACACAACTAATTAAGTTTCTTCCTTCTGCTCTAGATGACACTGTCAAGAATGGGTATTTCTCTCCCCTTCGCCATTCCCATCAATCCAGATGGATCTCTTTCCATTCAAATCGATGAGGACATTCTCTCCTGGATCCAGAAACATATCAAGGAAGAATAATATGTGAAGAATTACATTTTACATTTAAGAAAATGTGAGCTGAATTTACATGTAATTGATTGGTTTTTGACAGTTTAATTGAATTTTACCACTGCTGTGATGCAAGAGACACTAATAAACACCCTGCAAGTTAATGAGCTGCCAATTGTTTACACTTCACAGTAATTTCCAGCATTGCTTACTGATTGTTAAATAATGTGAATGTACAGGTGTAATGGCATTTTCAAGAAACTTTAAATAATTGAATAATAATTATGTTAAATTTGGTTCTACATTCTAATAAGGATAAATTGGTGCACATACTAGATACTAAAGCAATATTAGAGCATGAACAATTACAAGAAGGATGGCCGTTCTTCTCAGACTACCACAAAAAAATCAAAGACATTGCCCGGTATTTTAAAGAACCATGAGAAAAGAAACCCTAGGTTTACCTTAACACGGGAAGTGTTGATCCTGAGAATCTTTATTTAAATGAAGATATAAATATCCGAAAATCTCCTTTGCACAATTGACCTATCGGTAAGCCCCTCCCCTTGAACACAGATGAGTCAATGGCAGTTGAGTGTCAGTTGCACGGGGACCAGAACTTGGACATCTTCAGGTTTCAGCACCATAGAGAAACATTGGAAGATCCGAAGCTCTCATCTGTTTGATGGTGCTCATGCTACAAAAAAATGTTAAAGGGGTCATATGATGCGATTTCAAGTTTTCCTTTCTCTTTGGAGTGTTAGAAGCTGTTCGTGAATAGACAAGATCCCTAAAGTTGCAAAGACTAAAGTCTCAAACCCAAAGAGATATTCTTTATCAAAGTTAAGACTCATCCACTCCCTCCTAAAACGCCTCGTTTAAACACGCCCCCACGTCTACGTCACTGTGTGGGAAGATTTGCATAACGCCGCCCAAATGTTCACGTAACACTCCAAAGAGAAAGGAAAAATTGAAATCACATCATATGACTCAATTCAAACATGAGTTTTGTGCAGTGTAGAGTCACAAATGCAGACATGGTTTTATGTTTACACGGCTCGATACGCAACGCAACTGAATCTGTAATTATGTCCCCACTGGATGCCTCGTTTGTAATAGGTTTTATTGGTTTTGTCTCGTTGCTCCGACCAGGACACGGCATCACAGTATGGTAAGGGCGTAACATTTCTGTCACACGCTTGAGGTATTCGGCCAATCACAACGCACTAGATAGCTGGCCAATCAGAGCACACCTCGCTTTTCAGAACGATGAGCTTTGTAAAAATCGACGCGTTTCAGAAAGGCGGGGCATAGAGGAGCAACAATAATGTACAGTATGTGGAAAATAATGTTTTTTGAACCTTAAAGCGCATAAACACATTTCATTACACCAAATACACAAAATAATGTTCTTGTTTTAGCAACGTCATATGACCCCTTTAAAAAGATGTGCCTGGGGTACTTGTAACACTGATTCCAGGTATCCTGAGAGGACAGGCAATGGAATTTGGAATTTATATTGTAATTCATCAACGTTAATTTTCTGGTTGTCATACTCTCATTAAGTTACCATTTTCATCTGCTCAAGCAGAATGTTAATGTCATCTTGTGCTTCAGCAAGGTATATCTGGCTAAAAGTAGCTTAAAGTTAGTGAGTCCATGCTAACGTACAAACCAAAATGACTAACTGTTCTTGTGTCATGTACAGTGTAGTTCAAAAACACAAAAAAGGTCTACATTTCAGTGCCTCTCTATATTAAACTGTTTAAAGTATTCATTCATTGATTCATTCATTTTTATTTATAGGCACCTTTCATGACACTCAAGGTCACCTTACAAATCTCACTATAACATGATCAATCAACAACAACAGCAAACCAGACAGACAATAAAAATACAATAAAACACTAAAAATAAAACTAACTAATCAACACATACAATCATAGATATGCCTGCTTAAATAAATGAGTTTTAAGACACGATTTAATAGTGTGAAAACTGTCGCTGTTACGAATGTCCTGGGGAAGGGCATTCCACAAGTGAGGGGCAGCATAACTAAAAGCCCTGGGGTCTCATTTATAAAACTCTCCGTAGATTTAATCCTAAAAGTGTACGTATGCACAAAAGGTAGATTTTGCGTACGCTCAAAAGTTTTCAGATTTATAAAACCATGCGTACGCCAGAACCTGCGCAAAAATCTCTTTATAAATCCCAGTCAGGGGAAGATTGTTCATACGTGCATCTCCACCCCGACCTCCCCGAAATCACCATATATGGAGCTTACAACGCCTAGTTTACTATGCATAACCTCATCTGCATATCATTTCTATGCATATTCCCATCCACGTGACACCATGTTTAACACCGTCAAAGGTACAAGACATTAAGGAAATATGAGATACCGACTATAAATGCCATTTGTGCCATACACATTAATTTTTATTGCTGAAAATCATCCGGTATCCTAGTTATGTTTTAGAATAAATATATCAAAATATCCATAAAAAACTGTTTAAAATAGTTCTCAGAATAATAATTTAGAATAGAGTTGATCTCATTCATTTCCACTGGCCCACTAATATTTCAATTGTTTAAAAAAA